CATAGTCCACTTTACTACTTGTTAACGAACCGTACACTTGCGGTGGGTTTTAAAATCGAGAAGAAATAATTTTGCGAACAGATAGCATACACGCTCGTCAGGTTCGACAGTATCAACTCTATGTTATCTGGTAGCATTATAATCCTCTCTAAGTTTCACAATGTCGGAGGTTTTCATCGTTGATGGGTAATTTGATGACCCCCAATGAATTGAGGTGTTTACTGGGCTATCAAGTCTTTCCATATATTTTCCCTACCCATTATGGCCTTCGATACCTCGTAAGATGACAAGGCGATAGGTTCGTTTAGACCTGAGTCTACCAAAGCCAACCTATCCTCACCCACCTCACCAGAAATGCTAGAACCAGCCATTTCTTAAAAAAAAAAAAAAGATAGAAAGGTTAGGGATTCCAAAAATTTACCTAAACACGAATGTTGCTAAGATACTATGTTGCCGGAAACTGAAGATTGCTGTCAAAAATAAGAACAAAATTCATTGAAGTTTGGAATTTTGCAGAATGCCTATGCATTTTTCACTTTTTTCAGGTAAAGTTCAAAAACAAATGAAGAATGCAATCTTTTATAGGTTGAGGTATCAAGCCTCATCCATTAGATCAAATCACATAGTGATCTTGACCTTCCATTCATTGATCTCTCTACGCCGTTGAGATTAAATGCCAAACAGATCAGATGGCCAAGATAAAGCAGTGTACATCACTTTCACTTGAAGCGCATTACCTTGAACTTCAATCGTCCTATGCCATGGTTAGCACTAATGACTTTAAGGACACATGCGTTGGAAGTAGGCGATACTTCAATGGATTTTTTTCTTGAAAAAGTACAATGACTTTCAAATTATTGGCATAAGCCCAATGAAACATCTCATCAGCTCAGAACTTAAAAATCAATGCCCTAACATTTGAAATCATGAAGCAACTTATCTCTGCCTCCACAACTTTTCTCAGAGTTGCTATCATTGCCTCACCCTCAAGAAAGGACATCGCCTTTACCTTCACAACTTTTCTCAAAGTTGCTATCTTTCAGAGCCTCGTCCTTAAACAAGGACTTCGCCTTTGCTTTCATAATTTTTTTTACAGTTGCTATAATTCAGAACCCCGTCCTCAACAAAGCCATCGCCCCTGCTTTCACAACTTTTTGAAAGTTGTAATCTTTCATAGCCTCTTCTTCAAATAAGGACATCGCTTCTGCTTTCACAACTTATCGCAAAGTTACTATCATTCAAATTCTTATCCAATTAAAAATCTACTGCATTATATAAATATCCATAAATGGACTTGCGGAACTATAATATTCCTTGACAAAAAATTTCAAAAATAATTTCTAAACACACGATGAAAGATAAAATATTTCGAGCCAATACATCAGAAGTCCACGTATCATATAAATATTTATACATGGATTTCGAGGACTATTGTTACACTTCTTATAAAGAGGATCTAGATTATTGCCAACGTGGCATCTAGTTAAGTTGACAAAGTCCACACCTCTCATGATCATATTTTCTTTGAAAATGTCATTTTTAATTCAAATTCCTACTTCTATGCTGTTTGATTGATATTTTTTCATGAAAAATATTTTTTTAATTTTGATCACGTAACCATATTTTCCTTGAAAACGGAGAAAAAATTTCTATAGGGGGAATATATTATTATTTTTCACATAATTTACTTTCTCTTTTTATCTCATCTACTACCTTTCTCTCCTATTTACCTACCAATAAAAAATAGATAAGTTTAACATTTTCGAAGTTGAAAATAAAATCAATCAAACTTATTTAATTGAAAATTTTCATGCTGATAATTTATATACAATTGAATTACCTGGAATTAAATTCTATGCATGGAATGAAACACAATCACCTTTTTAGCCTCCCCTGTCCAGTTCCAAACCCCAACCTGCGAACAAAACTGTATTTTTACATAATTATACTCAACTCCAGTATACAAGGAGACAAATACAAGGAGACAAAGGATTTTCAAACCAAATTTTTTTTAAAATAAAATTAAGGGCCCATAGCCATCATCACACCGTTCCCCACCACTATTTGCCATTTTCAAATTACACTGTTTATTTTTTTTTTGTTCTTAATTTGACAGCTTAAGAAGAGAAAAAAGGAATCAATCAATCTTGAGTGAGAAAGAGAAACCAGATGCTGACTGAATAGATTTGCTTTCACTATACTTAAGATTAGCAAAAAGTAAAAAAGCATAGAATTTTGCAATTGAATCCCAACCCTCTTCTGAGATTCAACTGAATTTCATTCTCTTGGTCAGTTCTCTCTCTGCTTTTCACTTTTTTTTTTAAATTTATTTTATATATGTATGTATTTATGTACTTTTTTTTATTATTTTTTATTTTTTATTGAATGAGAATTGGAAGGTGGTGTGCAATAGCCATGCGCATGTGTATTACGCAGTTATTGAATTTTGTTTTTGTTTTTAATCTGCATTTCCCGTACCGATGGATATCTCTTCGTTACTGTATATCTCATTTCCAGCTTTCCTTTTATTTCCAAAGTTTTAGAACTAAAAATTTTAGGCTATGTTGAATTTTCTTATTAGTCAAGTTTGGTTGTACTGGGTCAATTATTCAGCCTCTAAAATTCTAGAAATGGTGGAAAAAATTTAGCCTTTCTGTATTTATTTTTTTTAAATTTTCGCCCAGATTCATACCCGGTTATAAATTATGGTTACAGGAAATTTCTCACGTGCTGGATCATGTTGGGACACTGTTTATGAATAGTTTTTGTGATACGAGGATTAGAAGAATACTGGGATGATTTGGAGATTGTCTTTTGTGGCCTGATCTTACGTTGGCTCTACTGATCATAATAAGTTGAGAGGCCCTTTGATACTTATAACAGTTTTACTGAGTTTATGTTTGAATGTTGAAGCGCTTTGTTTTGGTGGTTGATGATGGTTTCAGTGAAAATTCGATGTTGCATTTGTTGGTGCATTTTATTGCGATATCTTGTAACGTGTGTGATCTCTCATAGCACGGAGTTGAACAAAAGTGACTCCCTTATGTTAGGGGAAGGATTAAATCATCCTCATTCGGGATCATTTTTAAGTGATGGAACTCAAACCAGTGCCAGTAGTCGACCTGAAGAATTGAGATTTTCTAGCCAGACAGCTGATTTTGCTTCTTGCGAGGACTTGGAGGGTGTTGGATCATTTAATTCTACATGTTTGCTCAGTTCAAACCTGCATATAAATGCTGACATTTATGTCGTTGGCTCCGGGAACTTGGAGATACTTCCTCATGTATCAATTGTTTGTCCAGTAGAAGGCTGTACAATAAGTTTCAAGTTATCAGGCTCTGTTAAAGTTGGTCAAAATGCGACTATAGTTTCTGGCACTGTTATTTTTTCTGCTTTCAATCTGACTATGGAACCTAATTCTTCTATAAATACGACAGCCTGGGGGGGAACACCGCCTTCTCAGACTAGTGGGACACCAGTTGGCAATGATGGAGCTGGTGGAGGGCATGGTGGCCGTGGTGCTTCCTGTCTGAAAACAAATCAAACAAATAATTGGGGTGGTGATGCCTATTCGTGGACAACTTTATCTAGTCCATGGGCTTATGGTAGCAAGGGTGGTGGCACGTCTGATATACACGAATATGGGGGAAATGGGGGCGGACGTGTTTTGCTTGATGTAAAGGATATTCTTTATATAAATGGATCTGTGTCTGCAGAAGGTGGAGATGGAGGATCACTGGGGGGCGGGGGATCTGGTGGAAGCATCATTATTCAAGCTCAGAAGCTGTGAGAAAACTTCCTTGTTTAACTGCATATATTTAATATTATTTCCTTCTCTCGTGCATATTCACGTCATTCTTTACATGTCTGTCTGATATAAATGCTGAATCATTAACATACCACTGTTCACTGTGGACAAATACCTTTGCAAATATCATGAACACAACCATTTTACAGTGTCAAACTTATGCAGCTTGATAAATTCATAGCTCATAAGTCATAACCTTTCAATATGCAATTTTGGTACAAGCTATTGCTTGTGTTCATAGGTGTTGTACTCTGAAAAGATGCATTCCATTTGTCCTATTCATTTGAAGTGAAAATAAACTAACAAAATCAGTATGTTACTGTTTTTGTTAGACCTTCTAAAAGATCTATTCAAGCTGACAAGCAATATTTAATATGCATTTGCTGATTTACACATAGCTATAGGAACTGGCTGAATGATAGATATTCACGTAGAAAATATCTTAGGTGGAGGGCTAAAAACCCCGCCTGGACTTTACACTTTTGATGGTATTTCTGGCAGAGAGAGAGAGAGAGAGAGAGAGAGAGAGCGCTAATAAGGGAGCTGAATGGGACAGTGGGGGAGATAGGAAGTGGGATGATAGAAATTTGATGGCTGAGAGAAAAGCACCTGGATTTTCTATGGTTCTTTTCTTTTTCACATTTATTGTGATTTTATTAAAGGATCGATCATTTGATAAATTCTAAGGAGTTTGTATCCAAGTGTTTTTATGAGAGGTGTACTATTTTTATTTTTCTTTCCTTAATTCCTAATGTTTTTTTCCAAGAAGGTAAGGATTTTCACCTGATTATCCTCGACACTAGTGTGAATAAAATTTTCCCCAAAATTTTATCCTTGGGTTCTTTTTGGTGCTTGGAGAAACAATAATCCAAGAATCAAAGTACATTTATTTGAGGAAGGCAAATTCTTTTTGCAACTCTGGTTGCTAACCTCATCTAAAATCTTAAACCGTTAAAGAGGAAACACTTAATTAATTATAGATTTGTCTTCAACATCCAACATCTTTCATTTCAGGCATTTCTGTTTTGGGGCTTCCAGAGGTATTCCTTTTGCAGTGATTGTGGGTGGGTTGGATTAGATAGGATAGGTTAGGATAGGTGTGTCCCGTAATGGCTTGAGGATTTCAAATAGGCACTCAATGGAATTGTTTTATTTACCTTATTTTTTGTTTGTAAAATACTTGACCCGGCAGCTTATGTATTCTTGGAAATAGAATTGACAGCTGAACTAAGTAGTTTGTAGTCTTTTAACTTTCTCGTGTCTTGCTAAATATTTAGGATACAGCTTCTAGCATTCCATTCTTCTAGACCATACTTTCATTGGAATGTTGCAGTAGTTTATTAAGTACAATCTAATCATCAGTTGTGTGATTTGACTGGACAGGAAGGGATTTGGTATCATAAGTGCAGCTGGTGGGAGGGGATGGGGTGGAGGTGGAGGCGGAAGGATCTCTTTGAACTGTTACAGCAAGCAAGAAGATGTGAAGGTCATCGTGCATGGTATGTTCTGATAACGCGTACCTGGCAATTTCTAGTTAAAGACCCCATAGCATAGTCAACTGCTAAATGTCATTTTTCTGTAAGAATCTTGGCATCTATAATTGAAGTTGTAGTTTTAATACTCGTATCTGTGGGAAATAATCTTTAAAACCTTTCCAGGTGTAAATTGACTCAATCTTTCGTTCTTTCTCATTCCTGATATAGAATTCTCTATTTTATTTTTTAACTGTATGTGTGGAAGTTACTGGAACTTACCCACGGGTCTACTCATATTAATATCTAACTAGGGATAGGCGTATCAAGCTGCTTCATATACTGTTTCTAGTGACATCCTTTTGTGGAAGGTTTAGTTATGTCTATTTTATCAAGAAGACGTCTTTAGGTGGAGAACAAAATTCAGGAACAAGACCCATGAAAGTTCTTATTACAAGAAAATGATCAATCGAACTAGGAAGGCTATTCAACGAAACTTTTAAGCTCAACCATTTTCCAGCCCCAAAACTATCAAATTGAAATAAGTCGGTGCCATCACCATTACAATCTTTGACGAATGATGATTTAACACTTAACCACTAAAATTGAAAAACTTACTTAAAACTTTGTTTCTTCACCATCTTGCTTATTCTGCCATAGAGAGAGAGAGAGAGAGAGAGAGCGCTAATAAGGGAGCTGAATGGGACAGTGGGGGAGATAGGAAGTGGGATGATAGAAATTTGATGGCTGAGAGAAAAGCACCTGGATTTTCTATGGTTCTTTTCTTTTTCACATTTATTGTGATTTTATTAAAGGATCGATCATTTGATAAATTCTAAGGAGTTTGTATCCAAGTGTTTTTATGAGAGGTGTACTATTTTTATTTTTCTTTCCTTAATTCCTAATGTTTTTTTCCAAGAAGGTAAGGATTTTCACCTGATTATCCTCGACACTAGTGTGAATAAAGTTTTCCCCGAAATTTTATCCTTGGGTTCTTTTTGGTGCTTGGAGAAACAATAATCCAAGAATCAAAGTACATTTATTTGAGGAAGGCAAATTCTTTTTGCAACTCTGGTTGCTAGCCTCATCTAAAATCTTAAACCGTTAAAGAGGAAACACTTAATTAATTATAGATTTGTCTTCAACATCCAACATCTTTCATTTCAGGCATTTCTGTTTTGGGGCTTCCAGAGGTATTCCTTTTGCAGTGATTGTGGGTGGGTTGGATTATATAGGATAGGTTAGGATAGGTGTGTCCCGTAATGGCTTGAGGATTTCAAATAGGCACTCAATGGAATTGTTTTATTTACCTTATTTTTTGTTTGTAAAATACCTGACCCGGCAGCTTATGTATTCTTGGAAATAGAATTGACTGCTGAACTAAGTAGTTTGTAGTCTTTTAACTTTCTCGTGTCTTGCTAAATATTTAGGATACAGCTTTCTAGTATTCCATTCTTCTAGACCATACTTTCATTGGAATGTTGCAGTAGTTTATTAAGTACAATCTAATCATCAGTTGTGTGATTTGACTGGACAGGAAGGGATTTGGTATCATAAGTGCAGCTGGTGGGAGGGGATGGGGTGGAGGTGGAGGCGGAAGGATCTCTTTGAACTGTTACAGCAAGCAAGAAGATGTGAAGGTCATCGTGCATGGTATGTTCTGATAACGCGTACCTGGCAATTTCTAGTTAAAGACCCCATAGCATAGTCAACTGCTAAATGTCATTTTTCTGTAAGAATCTTGGCATCTATAATTGAAGTTGTAGTTTTAATACTCGTATCTGTGGGAAATAATCTTTAAAACCTTTCCAGGTGTAAATTGACTCAATCTTTCGTTCTTTCTCATTCCTGATATAGAATTCTCTATTTTATTTTTTAACTGTATGTGTGGAAGTTACTGGAACTTACCCACGGGTCTACTCATATTAATATCTAACTAGGGATAGGCGTATCAAGCTGCTTCATATACTGTTTCTAGTGACATCCTTTTGTGGAAGGTTTAGTTATGTCTATTTTATCAAGAAGACGTCTTTAGGTGGAGAACAAAATTCAGGAACAAGACCCATGAAAGTTCTTATTACAAGAAAATGATCAATCGACCTAGGAAGGCTATTCAACGAAACTTTTAAGCTCAACCATTTTCCAGCCCGAAAACTATCAAATTGAAATAAGTCGGTGCCATCACCATTACAATCTTTGACGAATGATGATTTAACACTTAACCACTAAAATTGAAAAACTTACTTAAAACTTTGTTTCTTCACCATCTTGCTTATTCTGCCATAATGAATGAAGTATTCCAGTCTCCTAACTTTCTGTTTTCTGGTTGACACAGATCCTTTCATACTATTGTTCTTCTCTTCTCTCTCCTTCCAAATCTTTATACAGAATAAATAGTCGTGTGCTTCACTCCTCAATTCTGCCAGTGAACTATTCTCAGTTCTCCCAACTTCTCATCTCCTATATATATGCCCCCCAGATTATTAACAAGTCCTTCTCTGAGACCAAGAAAATGACTTGTGGCTTTCTGGGTGGAACCAAAGCCATATTCTCATACCAGAAAACTGAACCTCCATAATTATTTCTGCACCTGTTCTTCGAGTTCTATCATGGACCAAGGAATTTGTATAATAGTTACTCTCCCTCATAAAAGTTCCACCTACTTCAAATGAATCCTTTGAAGTTTGAACACTTGGTTGAGTCATGTGGTGATAGACTTGCACATATTTCTTTTCTTTTTCCAGTTTCAGACTTTTTCTTCTTCTTAGGGAACCTTTAGGAATATGCTAACGACACACACAAAGACACCTTCAGAATCAAAAAGTTGTAGTGAAAACTAACATAAAAACTATAATTTGACAAACATTTAGGTTTGAATGGGGAAAATGATAATGATCATCTAAGCCTTTTTTATAATCTTTGTCATTGTTCAACTACTTTCGTATAATATCATTATTATTTAAAGGTCAAGGTCAAATTTTAATTTTAATCACATTTTGTAGGACCACAACTACTATGCATTTATCCACCATTCATTTCTATTACATTATAATTTTAGCAACTTAAAATGAAACCCAAACAACTTGTTAATATGCTTTATTGAATTCCGTAAGCCATTCATTGTGATCTTATCAACAATCCCATTAAAATCAAGCTACTCATTTGGTTCTTTCTTGTATGAACTATATTTTAATCATGTATATGTGCTTGAGTTTTTCAATTATGTCAAACCACAAAAAAAATGATTGGGTGATCTTTCAAGACTAATTTTCATTCATCATCCCTGGTTTGGTGTCCTATTTATTTATTTTTTTTAAAAATGCTGTTCATGTGCATGTCTAGTGCTTCTTTGAACTAAATTTAGTTATTGTCATTTCTTAAATGGACCTCTTCATATATATTAGTTGTGTAATATCAGGTTGTGGATTGGTAATCAACTTACCAAATTGAAAAGATTACAGATTTGAGAAAATAATGTTTCTTCTCAATATATTAGCAGCATTTTTACATCAGTTTATATACATACAAAGAGGTAGAAAATATGGAAAGGCTAATCTCCTAAGCTAGGAAACAAATTAGCCTACCTAATAACAAAAAGAATATAATCCCTAATTAATTACAATTACTATAACTGGTTTTCTTTCCTTTTTTCTTCTCTTGGTCATTTTCTATACTCTCCCTCAAATTGAATAGTACATGTTGACCATGTTCAACTTGCGAATGAAATCGTCAAATACTTGTCCGGATTTGTTCTTTTGTAGGAACATGTCATACGGATAATACCATTTTCAAAGGTTTGGTTCTGTTATATTGTACATGATTGATGGAAATGTTGATGGCTGCTTTATTATCACAATAGAGTTTTATCGAAAATTCCACCGTGACTTTCAATTCTTCCAAGAGTTTCTTTATCCGTAAACCTTCACATATTTCCTGTGCAACAGCTCTAAATTCAGCTTCAGTGTTGCTTGTAGCTACCACATTTTATTTCTTGCTCTTGTAAGTTGTCAAATTTCTTGTACAAAAGTACAGTAGCTGGTGGTTGATCTTCTATCTTCAATTGATCCTAATCTGCATCTATGAATATTTATACTCCTTTCTTCTCATTTTTCGCGAAGAATAGTCCTCTCCCAGCAGTCCCTTTTAGGTATCTGAGAATTTTATATTCTACTTCTAAGTGAGCCTCCCTAGGGGAATGCATGTGTTGACTAACCATGCTAACAATGAAACTAATGTCAGGTCTAGTGTGTGAGAAGTATGTTTAACTTTCCAACTAGTCTTTGATATTTGTCTATTTCCACATAGCTTCCTGTGTCCCTTGTTTCTTTTCCTGCCTCGATAGGTGTATCAATAGGTTTGCATCCCAACATGCCAGTTTCCATCAACAGATCAAGTATGTATTTTCTTTAGGAAACACAAATATCCTTCTTTAATCTAGCAACCTCTATCCCCAAGAAGTACCGCAATTGTTCAAGATCTTTCACCTCGAACTCAGTTGCTAAACACTTCTTCAATCTTTCCATCTCAGCTATATTGTCCCCTATTAGGATGTTATCATCCACATATACAATTCGGATATTTATTGTTCCATCTCTGGATCGTCGGAAGAATATGGTGTGATCTGACTGTCCTTGCTGATTGTTGATATCCTTGATTTTTAAGAACATTTGCAAATCTATCAAACCATATTCTAGGTGATTGTTTGAGCCCATGCAAATATTTCTTGAGCTTGCAAACTCGATATTCCTCATAGATTTGTTGAAGCCTGGTAGTATTGTCATGAAGACTTCTTTTTCCAATTCTCCGTTGAGAAAGGCATTTTTAATATCCAGTTGTTGAAGGGGTCAGTATAGATTTACGTCAAGTGACAAAAGGACTCTAACTATATTTAGTTTTGCCTTTGGTGTGAATGTTTCTGTGTAGTTGATACCATATGTTTGTGTATATTCTTTGGCAACCAAACGAGCATTGTAACGTTCTATTGTCTCGTCGTCTTTGTAGTTTACATTAAAGACTCATTTATAACCTACTAATCTCTTTCCTTTCGGTAGGTTGACCACTTCCTAGGTTTCATTTTTCTTTAAGGTTTCATTTCCTCTATTACTACTTCTCTTCATTTTGGTAATTTTAAGACTTCCTAAATATTCTTTGGAATCTCTGTTTCACTAAGGTCAGTAGTAAAAGCACAAAATTTTGAAAATAGAGCATTATAAGATATGAATTTTGAAAACCTCGTGGGTAGGTGGTACTGGGTTTCGCTCTAATATTCGGCCCGTGACCTCGTTCAACTCCTGGTTTAGCCCTGCAAGAAATTCGAATACTCTCTCGTTTTCCTGCTTCTTTTTGTACAAGGCGACATCTTCACGGCACTTCCATTCTTCTTCACTGCTCAGGTCGAGGTCCTGTCACAGCGAGATCATCTCCATGGAATATTCGGTGATGTAATTTGTCCTTTGTTTCGTCTGCCATAGACGAGTCTTGAGTTCGAAGATTTTTGTAGCATTCCTGGTGTCAGAATAAGTCTCCTTCACAGCATCCCGGACATCTTTTGCCGTTGGAAGGAAGAGATAGGCTTTTCCTATCGACGGCTTCATGGAGTTTATAAGCCAAGCAGTTATCATTGAATTTTTAGATTTCCACCGTTGCAGAGAGTAGGATCAGCCGGCTTCTTTATCTCATCGGTGAGATATCCTAGTTTCCCCTTTTCATCCCTTTCCATCAATTATTAATTTAATTGACTGAGCCCATTTTCGGAAGTTTTTTCCATTCAATTTCTTGATGGTAAGTTGAAACGATAAAGTTTCGGATATATTGGAACCAATTGAGGAGTGAACCTCTGCTTCGAGGTCGGAGGTGACTGACTCAATACTGTTGGCGGGAGTTCCACTATTGACTGCTAGGTTAGAGTAACCGTTGCTCTGATACCATGAAAAGATTACAGATTTGAGAAAATAATGTTTCTTCTAAATACATTAGCAGTCTTCTTACATCAGTTTATATACATACAAAGAGGGAGAAAATATGGAAAGACTAATCTCCTAAACTTGGAAACAAATTAAAACAAATTAGCCTACCAAATAACAAAAAGAACATAATCCATAATTAATTACAATTACTATAACTGGTTTTCTTTCCTTTTTCTTCTCTTCATCGTATTCTACACAAATGGTGTGTCAATGTGGAAATATTAATACAGGGATGCTTCGAACTGAAAAATTGCAAATTGCGTCTTAATGCACTAATGCTTCAATTTTCGATTTTCATGTGTTTCTCAATTGTAATTTCTTTGTAGCTTATATGCCGTTTTTCTTTTTTCTTTTTTCTTTTTCCTTCTTTTTTTTTTTTTTTTTTTTTTTTTTTTGGTCTTTATTCGGTCTATTGATTTCTGAATGTTGTTGTCATCGAAGTTCACAGCTTCTGTATGCTGTTGTATGAATACAAACGGGAAGCCTGATACCTAGAAGCAGGAAGACTATATGATTAGATGTTTGCAATCCATATGAAGAGGCTATATATAGACTATTTCCTACCTTTTTTTTTTGAGCATATCATGCCAGTAACTTAAAACATTCTATAAATTTGAGAGAAGCGACTGTAAATATGTTGAAGATTAGGTGTGTTTTTTCTCTAACACCATGTTTATTGCATGGTGACCTTACTGAATTATTCACCATGGTTCTCTTTATTTCTTTCTTCAGATAGGTTCATGATTTTTTGCTCCGGATTTTAATAAACCTGGACACAAAAAGAGTATACTATACTTCTAATATTGTGCTTTCAAATGTTAAACCAAGAACTTGGGTAGGATATAGAAACATAAAGATCACTTGAAAGCGAGCAACTCAAGTATAAGATGCTTTTTATGTCGAGGATGGCATGTTCACTGCCTTCATATATTAGATGCTATTTTGAAAATAGTTATGCATTTTATTGTTTAGCTGAATCTCATGTTCATATAACGTGACGATTAGAACAAATTTATATGCAAATCCTCAGTTTCTGGAAATAGATGACACAGTGGATAACAAATTTTCCAAAAGAATTACTTAGCTTTATATAGGTTTCTGGTAGGTTCCCTGAAACATTTGTATTGAGCTACATGATCTGTGTTTACTGTGGCAGGTGGATGGAGTATTGGCTGTTCTTGGAATGCTGGAGCAGCAGGTACTTACTTCGATGCATATGTACTGAGTTTACGAGTTGGCAATGACAATATAACAACAGAAACAGAAACTCCTTTGCTGTATTTCTCTACTAGTCCATTGTGGACAAATATCTATGTGGAGAACAACGCTAAAGTTCTAGTGCCTCTGTTTTGGACAAGAGTTCAGGTTTTCAATCATACCCTTTTTGGATATATGTAGATCTTTGGATTGTGTGAGTGTGCAAGAAAATTTGATATGATTTACTGATAAATTTGCATTATTTCTCTTATATGATACATTTGGATCAAGCCACTTCATTCATGCATAAGTAATATGACTACATTAAATTACCAGATTCACTAATTATCCGTTTAAAAGACCATGTAGTTGTATTGACTAATCTCTTTCAGGAATATGTAGGTACCTTTTTTGTATTTAACTAATAATCTCTTTCGGTAACATGTTGGTAATCTCTCTCTCTCTCTCTCTCTTGCTTGCTTCGGTTGCTAAGTTGTTCATTTTAGAGACTAAAAGAGTTACAATACCATGTCACTAACTAACAATAATATATACTACAGGGGAAAAAGGACTTATACTAAAAATCTGATCGTCGGAATCTTTAAAGAATAATGGGATGCTAGAAATGCAAGTCCATGTTTATGTTTTAAATACAATAAGAAATTCTTGCGTAAATTTATCAAACCAAATGGGAAACCTTTATTCTGTTTTTGCTTCGGTCCAAATGATTGTCTTTTTTCCACAATCATCTTCAGTGACATTTTTGTTAACAAATTTTATTACATTTTGTTCATCCAAAGTTAGGTGACCATTAGAAATTCCATTTTATGCCACTCTAGGGAAGTAAATAAAAGGTTTATAACCTGTACATGTTTTCAGCCTGTAGCTCAAAATGACATTCAAGTCAATCAAAGGCATCCGAGTGGGACCTACATCATATGCTCTTCAGCCATAATGTAAAAATGTACCTGTCTCACTTGGACCTCACATACCAATCCCTCCCCACTGCCAAGATCTTTAATAAACCTACCATCACCACCAGCTTAACGACCACCAATTCTTTCAAACTGAGATACTAAGATTAGAGAACCTGCCAAGGAGAAGAAAAGAGAGAAGAAATGGGGAAAAAAGTCGAGGAAGAAAAATAATAGCAAAGAAAAGAAAAGAAAAGGATGAAGAGAGTGGAGAGCGGGGGGACTAGCAACTGCATATCTTGTAGAAGAACATGGAGAATGGAGAAATTAAAAGAAACAAGAAAAAGATACTGAGAATTCGCTTGGTCACTTGTCCTGTTTCCCAACTGATTGGGCCCTATGTACAGTTATGTTTCTCTGTTCCAGAAATTTGGACCGACTTAGACAACCTTCCATAGCTGATTTTAGCTCAGATCAGTCAGATAGTGGGACCGAACAAGACGCTCTATGCCAGTTCCTAACTAATACAAACCCATTTCCCTATCCGCTGTTAAGCATCATTTTCCAAACAGTAGCTATGGTACTCCATGATATTGCATAGAAAGTTTACTGGAGAAATCAGTACTTGATGACTGTTTCCTAAAGTACTTGGGATGACAGTTATCAGAAAAAATCTTCCTACCATATTCTATTAGGCATAGATTAGAGGACAAAAGAAGGAATGAACTCCAACAATCGAGCAAACTCTTCCATTTAGGTACTAAGCGAGTGTTCTTCAGTCCACAGGAAGAAAAATTTAGATGTGATGCCACGAAAGGGCTTTGAAAAGAGACGAAAAGGAGCATCCCTGGGGAATTTGTTCTTCTAAGAGTAAGTTAGATGATACTTGATAGCTGATGATACATGCTTTTGTAATGATGATATGGATGATGAAAGTTCCAAACTGCAATGTAATGAATTGCATATTCATTAAAATGAGTTGCCATTACGTTAGTATAGTCGGCTTACGTTTCATTTTTAAAATTTTTAAAAACTCTGCTTAAATCTTTAACATTGTTTCTAAATCATGTCATATGACTTTTGACTTATGAGTTCCAAGTTCTTTGCCATATATGGTCTTTAACAAATATCTCAAAAATTTCTGTTACAAAGGTGAGAGGCCAAATAAGTTTGTATTGTCGAAGCAGTATCATCTTTGGATTGTCTGAGTATCCAGTCTCAGAGTTTGAACTTGTTGCAGAGGAACTTCTAATGAGTGATTCCGTGATACAGGTATAACATTTGCTTGTCATATTTGATTTTTCTTTCATATGCAAATGCGTGCTAGTTTCTCATTTAAGCTTCAGTCTTTATCAATGTGGACAAAAGTTAGTCCAAAAAATTTACAGATTGTTGCATATAATTTCTTTACTTAGGGATCTGCAACTTTTATTTGTTATGACAAAATCATTTTTTGTAAGCTGAGAGACTTGAGGAGACAGGGAAAAACTGTCTTTTTTCTCTTATACAACACCATAGCCGAGTGCCCTCTTTTATAGTACTCAAGAGGGGCTAAAATAAGGAAAAAAATATGTTCAAATCCTACCTAATCTCCAAGAATCGTGCCTAATTACAATATATAAATTTCCCTATATACAATAGTTAATCAAGGCAACAGAGATATTATCATATCTCTGGGACTTCAACACTCCCTCTCAAGTCGGATCGTAAATGTTGATCATATCCAACTTGTAAATGAAATCATCAAATTTTTGTTGAGATAGGCCTTTAGTAAAGATGTCTACAGTTTGTTCCTGTGTAGGAACATATGTCATACAAATAGTTCCTTTATCTATCTTCTCTTTAATAAAGTGTTTGTCTATCTCTGCATGTTTAGTTTGATCATGTTGAATTGGGTTGAGAGAAATGTTGATGACAGCTTTGTTTATCACAATACAGTTTAATTGGAACCTTATTGTAACGTGCAACTCTTCTAGAAGTTTCTTTAACCACAGTCTCTCACATATCCCTTGTGCTACTGCTCTGAGTAAACCCTTTTGCAACTAGCCTGGTCTTATGTCTTTCAACTCTCCTGCCTAAATTGTATTTTATGGTAAAGACCCACTTATAGCCCACAGGACTCTTCCCTTTTGGTAGTTCCACCACTTCCTAAGTTTCATTTTTTTGTAAGGCTGCATTTCTTCATGGACAACTTTTTTCCACTCGGGTATCTGGAGAGCTTCATGAATATAGCTTGGTAACTTGGTCGCTGATATTTTTTCTGTGAAGGCTCGAAAACTCGAGGACAGATGACCATAAGATATAAAGTTTGCTAAGGAATGTTGAGTGCACGTTCTAGTACCTTTTCGAAGAGCAATAGGCAAGTCCAAGTCATATGTCCCTACATCAAATGACTGAGTGTTTACCTCTGGTTCAGATTCTTGACAGTGATCTTAGGGTGCAATGGTCTGTACATTATGAGGTATAGCTGCCCATCGAGTGTAAACACGCAACTCAGAGTTTTTTTGCTCAAGTGAATTTCCCCTTATTTTCCAAATTATTAGGTTGAGGTCTAATAGGACTAGGTTCAGATTGAATGGGAAGTGGCTGATTTGGTTCGGTAGAATCGACAGACTTGATAGGTATAGGAAGTGGCAAACTCGGCTCCATGAAACTTGACTTAGTGAACTCGGTGAATTGTAAAATAGAATCATGCCTAATTACAATAGTTTCTGCCATTAGATTGAGCCTCGACTGGCTTTGATACCATTTAAGCTGAGTGACTTGAGAAGAGAGGAAAATCTCTCTTTTTTCTCTTATACAACATTACAGCCAAGTGCCCTCTTATATAGTACTCAAGAGGGGCTAAAATAGAGGAGAGGGGAGGGGAGGGAGGGGGGGGGGGGATTTT